TTGGTGTATGGTAAACCCGGGTTGCGTGATGAAGTCGTGGGGTTCCATGACTTCAAAATACTAATAATACCAGGTTCATGAGCATAACAAATAGACATTTTCCCAAAGATTTGGTGACCATAAACATGGACCTTATGATTGTTTTTTATTTTCAACCGCACGAAGACTGACGTATGTGCATTGGTCAGCCGGTTAGCGCGGTCGATGCTAACAATAAAATCACGCACACGGACAAGACAACGGACAGACGTAACACAGAAACCAGGGTACACGTGCTGCTGCAGACCCGAAGGGCTCTACACAGAGGCGCACCATGCCTTGTGCGGACGGTGAACTGTGCCATCAACAAGACAAAACGCCGCAAGCCCCTCATGGGCACGCCTGAAAGGGAGGGTGTGGCGGACGGCTCAACGGCAACTGAGGCAGCATCTTTGAGGACGACGAAAAGCACCGCATCTGCAGCAAGTGCGTCGCCAAGGATGGCACGCGCAAAGCGACACCGGCTGAGGGTGCTGGGGCGGAACCATCTAAACGCCCGAGGAAGACGAAGGGGGGGAGTAAGAGGGGTTCTGGTTCTCGTGCGCGGCCGGACAACAACACAAGGTTGAGATTCTCAAGTTGATGGATGCGCCAGGGCAGACATGAGATAATTTTTCGCGTCGTAGTGAGAGAGGGGGGTTAAGCTGTAGCAGTGCTCTTCCTGGCGTGTTTCTTTTCTTGTTGTCTTTTCTGAACTTGCAACATCGAACGAGGGCAGCGAGGGCTGAGATTTGGCTTCGTCCACTCTGCGTGTTGAAGGGTTGGTTCGTGCGACAGTTAGGGTGTGCAGTACAGTACGAGTGCTGAGGCAGGAAGAAAATAACGGTGCAACTTGCAAGTAAATATTTCTGCAACATCTATTTGTGTGGGACACAGGGGAACCGCGCGCGTCGCGGGACAGTCTGCCCACGCCCACGCTAGAACATGGCCCAGCACTACTAGACTACTGTAATTCGACCCATTTCGTACTCAGTTATTGTGCCCCCCCAAAGCATGAGCACCACACCATAAAATCAGACATCTCCTCAATAGTGTGCCGGACCTGCACTATTGAGGAATACTCAAAGCCTTATTGCCGAACCTGCACATTGACGCACTATTCCGATTAGTGCAGGTGCCCGCTATTGTGCAGTTAAAATTTCTGGACACACCCCGTTGCACTATAGAGGGCCCAGAGTACTACAGATTCAGACAGGAGAATAGGATCAACGAACTTGAGGACCCATTGACCAAAAGACTAATATTCTCTCTCACCACCTATCCTTCGCTTGGCAGCTTTGCTGTTATTCAAGGGCGTGTGCCCCACCAGAATTTCAAGGTCTGGGGACTGTCCAGTCCTTGTTGCTATGTGTGCACACGTAATGTTGAGGTGAGTTGTGAATTGTGAGTTGCCTTGGGGGCACAACAGAATGGGAGGAAACTGACAGTCTCGCCATCTGCCTTCATGCCATTTCAAGCCATCTCAGGATCTTCTTTAGAGCAACGGGTGGGCGGCTATTCTTCCCGCTGCTAACTCACGAACGAAGGGAACCGATCGAGAGCCTCGCCCCAAGGAACCGAAGGTAAGCAAGAACTTATTTTCATGATGTGCGTGTCTAGCCTTGAACCTGTGATGGCGATATGCAAAAGGATGAATACAGCTGCAGCTTTCTGTGTGTATCTGGTTAACCTAATTCATCGCGGGCGCTGTTTGTGCCCCGCGTTGTGCACCAGAACCAAGCGAGTGCGCGCATAACTTCTGTAGGCCATTCTCGATTGTTCATACCGTGGAGGGAAAATGTGTGCATCAAAATAACGCTGGCATAATATTACTGCTGCACGGCTGAAAAGAAAAAAATGGCGCAGGAACAATGAATATCGCTGTACACGGAATTGCAGCGCGACCAGCGTATATCCACCCAAGGCTAAAGGCTCACGGCAGTAGACTATTGCGATAGCTATCTAGGGAACCAAGATTTGTCAGATTCCGTCCACTGTAGGCTTCAAACTTATTGGCGCAACCCGCAGCACCTCCCCGAAAAAAATATGAGACTCGTATATACGCGGCGCAACCACACTGCAGTGCACCCGCCAAACCGATCAAGCACGAGAATGCGCCCACCACGAAATCAATCGTCACCAAAATTTGAGAGAAGACAAACTGAGTGCCAAATAGTACATTGCATAAGAATTGAACTTGATTAGTGCAGAGAATCGCGTTCGCATACAGGCACCGTGCTTATGCCCTGCCACGCTACCGGCAGCACAAAGCAAAGGTCATGTTGGCTGCTGATCTTGTGTTGAAAACGAACTACAGGTGGAGTACTCTTGAATGGCGTCAGCCAGGTTTGAACTGAAATTGCTGTTGGAGTACTTGCGCGATGTTGCACCGCACCACTTGTACCTGTTGGCTTCTCCTGATTCCCGGAGAAAAAATGTGAGAAGGACGGGGTAACATGGCAGCTACAGGAACATTGAGTTTTGCCGCTAGNTTCTCCTGATTCCCGGAGAAAAAATGTGAGAAGGACGGGGTAACATGGCAGCTACAGGAACATTGAGTTTTGCCGCTAGCAACGTAGTGCAATCTGATGTCGCACGCAGGCAACGGCCGACCTACCTACACATTGAAGTTTCGTTTCTCGACGTATCAACACGCACTAAGCATTGATTGGTGCATCGAAAACGCGAGGAAGGACTAACACACGAGCACGGCACACAAGACCGGAGCCCCCGAGTTGCCCAAGCCTTTCAACAAAATGTCCGAACTGAAGGATACAACAAATATCTAAAGCAAGTACAAACGACACAGGCCCAAATGCACACAGCACCCCAATGGGTTTCAGACAGTTAGCCGATAAAATGCAAAGAACAAAATACCATGCCAATAAACAACGGACACCCAGCGTGGCAGAAAAAAAGAACCCCGGCCTTCCGTCCGTCCGTCTCCTTGCGCAACTAGGTACGAAAACAGGCCGGGCGAAAACGCGCGCTCTAGCCGGCTTGCAAGCGTTCGGCCTCTGTTCCCGACGTTTGACATCTCGTACCCCCGGGTCGTCGTATTAAATGGATGGATTTATCCAAGTGAAGCACGGGCCTGTTTGATTACCAACAACGACGCGCGAAATGTGGCCTTGAAACATGGGGGTTAGAACAAATCACACCACAGAAATCTATCGGTAGGATGTGGAGATCTGATCTTTTACAATAATGCCCATAACTTCATCCCCAACCCCAAGCCAGGTATCTCAGGGAACGGTACATGCTCCTGCCCGAAGAGCTAGCCAGGTCTCAGTTCCAGGCGTCCGTGACGAGATCCGCAGCACCATCATCTGTGTCTCCGTCACTCCAGGCCGGGTCGACGCTCTTCTCGCTCAACCTGTTAGATTCCCCATCGCTAGAGCCAGATTCACCCGAATCCAACTTCATCAAATCGTCGAGTGCACCGACCGAACCGACGCTGTTCTCGTCCGACTCGGGGTCCTGCAGATCTGCGTTCTTCGACTCCGCGGCCTCTCAGATGCTCGCAGGTGGCTCGGGGGTCCCCGCCTCCACGTCGCTCTGTTCCGCTCCGTGCGATTCCTTCTGCTTCATAGAGGCGATAAAGAGTGCCATGGCATTGGCACCACGCAAGGATGGCGGTCGAGTGTCGATGGGTGGTTGGGGTCGGGCGACACCCTCGATCGCCCCAGTTTGAGAAGCACCCACCGTAGGCCGGGACGCAGACCTCCCCCCTGCTCGCACGGGTGCCGGCGCCGCCCGACGTAGGGTGCAACGGCTTCAGCAGCCGCAAGCTAGCGAGCACTTTCTGTCCTTGCATCTGCACCTGTTGCACAGGGCCGTGTCCGGATTGCAACCGAACGCCAGCGTGACTGTCTTGCGGTCAGGGCCGATGTAAGAATACTCGGACAGCCAAAGCACGCAGTTCTCGGCTGTAAGTTCGTCGCTGTCGCTCCCCTTTCCTCGGATTTCGACGCCCCATCCTTTGCCGGCAAACTCTGTCGTCGGCATGGTCTCCCTCAGGCCATTCTGGCAGTACCGGAAGATGGCGTTACCCCGTTCTTCCTGCTTGCGCAAGGCAACAGAAGAAGGACAGGTGGCTGTCGTCTTCTTCTTGGGGAGGTGGAGGATGACGTAGCGGACCAAGCTCACGTAGTCCTCGACGTCTCCGTCGACGCTTTCGAGCAGCTGGGGTGGACTCAGTTGAGCACTGCCAAACGCCGCTTCATCCTTGTAGAAGAACATGGTCGCCAATAGTTTCGCGCATTCGTCGACATCCACGGCCCACGTGCCGTCCTGCTCCTCGAAGAACAGCGGTTTGTCAAACAAACCCTCCGTCCGCACGCTCTTGAGGACGAGTACCCACATCTTGTCGAACGGCAGCCCGGAAATTGCCGGGAGGCAGTCACAGCCCGACTCCAGGAAGGTTAGGACGAACAGACGAACCTTGTCGGCGTCCGTGGGAACCCAGCTCCTAAAGGTTACAGGTGGCCACGCGGACTCGCTTCCGTCCTGGAGTTCGCAGATGCTGGCGAACACGAACTCTGTTCATCCACAGGAACTTGGTCTCGCCACCCACGACCCTCTGGACGGTCACGTCAACCGCACCCTCNTCCTGCTCCTCGAAGAACAGCGGTTTGTCAAACAAACCCTCCGTCCGCACGCTCTTGAGGACGAGTACCCACATCTTGTCGAACGGCAGCCCGGAAATTGCCGGGAGGCAGTCACAGCCCGACTCCAGGAAGGTTAGGACGAACAGACGAACCTTGTCGGCGTCCGTGGGAACCCAGCTCCTAAAGGTTACAGGTGGCCACGCGGACTCGCTTCCGTCCTGGAGTTCGCAGATGCTGGCGAACACGAACTCTGTTCATCCACAGGAACTTGGTCTCGCCACCCACGACCCTCTGGACGGTCACGTCAACCGCACCCTCGCCACGCGGCGGGAGCCAACCAGTGGTCATCGCCAGTAGGATGATCATCCATAGGTCCGTGTCTACCGATGAAGCGACCCACTTGTCGAACGTTTTCCCCCAGTACTTCTTCGCCCGGGCGATGAAGTGTATCACGAAGAGTTCCGCTTCGCCGATGTCCGGCCCACGGTGCCGCTCGACGTCAGGGATCGGGTCGGTTTCGTCTCGAACGTGTAGGAGTGGTACTGTTTCGAGGCCTACATCGGCATCTACACCCGCTGGATTATCAGCACTCAGACGAGGTTCACCTCCGACGCCATAGAATGCGACGATTCCGTTGGGCTTGGTGTCGGCGGTCCATACATCATCAGCCAGCACGCGCATCGCCAGGTTGGCGGCGATTCCGTCCCGCGCCGCCTTACCATCGACTCGAAGCCATGACCCATGGTGCAACAAAGGAACCGGATCCGTTGACTTCGGGTCGAAAGTCCGAGAGCACTCTCCAAGTGTCTCCGTCCTCCCAAGCTGCTCGTGTCCTCTGATTGCCGGTACTAGTTCTTGGCGATCGTAGCACACAACGAACAGCTCCGTCGACTTCAACCACTTCGAAAAGAACTGCTTCTTGAAGTAGTCGATTATCCCCGCGGTTCCCTTCTCGAGGTATTCTGGGTGCACCCCTTGGTGGATTGACACGGGCAGATCCACGCCATGAGCGTCGGCGCCGTAAAACGGGTCGACTGCGAACCCGTCGGCACAGTGCTCCCTGACCCATTTCAACGGATCTGCCGCCTTGTTGGCGTGCTTGGCTCCTGTCGCGTTAAAATGAGAGATTTCAACAGGTGTGTGGGGGTGTGGGGGAGGGACGGAACACGTGAATACCGTAATCATCGGGGTCTTGGCACACTATGCGGTCGCATTTTTTAATGCTTCGAACTTCAGACTATTTTCGCACAGGTGTGCGAAGACCCCGATATGTGCCAAGTTCGCGATACCTGTGCGGAAATGCAGTAAAGATTTTGGTTCTAAGAAACAACGCACACCCCTGTGTCAAGACCCCGATATGTGCGGTGCTGGTTAAATCCAAAGCGGCTGGTACGGCGGCTTTCGAACGCGCACCCCTGTGCCAAGACCCCGATGTGTGCGATCCAAACATTGAAAACCACAGGGGATAGCAGCACTTCGCGTGTATGGTATTGCTGCAACACGATCACAACACAACCAACAGACAATCTAGTAGCTGCACACACAAACGACTCTCGGGGAATTGCCACCACAACGGTTCCGTGGCGGAGAAATACCGGCGGAAAATCGGACCAATGCCCGGGACGGAGCTGCGGGCTCGACCTCACGCAACGCGCGGCTACGATGTCGAAGGGTGCAAGCGCGGGTCCTGCCGACGCCTCACAGGCCTCACAGGCCTCACAGGCTCGTGCTGGCGGTCCTTCCTCTGCGGATCAGGGAGCTGCCGCTGCGGACCCGAAGGCAACCGGCGAGGCTATCGATGAGATGCTAGCCCCCAACGACCCCGTCAAAAACAGCAACCGCAAACGCGCGTACCCGGAGCCCAACTTCCCGATCGAGCGGTCAAAGCAGTGGAGTAGTCGAACTTTGAATCATTGTTCTTTGGGATTGCCAGTGAGATTGGACGTTTTTGCGATGGTAGGGGTGCGGGCACGAAGTAGAGTTCACCCCGCCTAGGAAGTACAGTAGTAGGACGTTGGTAGCTTGTAGTGGTAGTTTGGTGTGATTTTTTACTTCGTTTTTCGTTTCATCTGCGTTTAGAATTGTTGAGTAGATGCCGTTTGCCGATTTGCCGATCTTGATTCTTCAGAACGAAAAGAAGAGAACAAAGAGTCCAAATACCACATTTTTTAACATCGTCATGGTGCCAAGGGCAGCAGTAGCAGTGGAACACGCGATTCAAGATCCCACAGTATCCGGAATTTCCAGCACAAGATGCTGGTGAAAGGGTATCACTTACCGCTAAACCTCACCGCACATATCGGCGCGTGTGCGGAGACGCCGATACCTGTGCGATAATCTAGCAAATCATTCGGAACCCGCTATTTTCCGCAAACGCTGTGCCAAGACCCCGATATCTGCCGAGACCCCGATACGTGCCAAGGCCCCGATGATTACGGTAAACACTCAGATGCACGGGTGTTGAGAGTGGATGGACTTCGGCTGGGAGCGAAATCTCGAGATGACAACGCCTTTCCCTACTTAATCTGTCTAGTCGGACCAACCGGCTACTTCGTTTGATATGCGCACGCTCTCTCCCTCACCTCCCGTCGCGTTGGCCATGCTGTACGGCGTGGCCGCTCCTATGGACCCCACCATTTTCAGCATCTGATCTTGTGTCACCACACCTCCGCCTTCTCTGGCCGCATCAAGCACGTTCAGTGCCCATGCCTTCCACTCTTCACCCCCCGTGTGGGTATTGCCGACGGTATCCTTCAGGGCAGACGACCTCCCTTGACTCTCCGTGGCCTTGTTGGTGCTGTTCCTAGCCGGGATGGAGAAAATCTTCTTCCTGGTCGCGCCCGTTAGGTTTTTTCTTCTTGAAGACGTAGTACAGGACACACTCTCGCAATTTCGCGGTAGCCTTATCGTGCGAGTTGAGAATCTCTTGCCACTTGACCGGTGGAAAGACTCTCCCGTCCAATGCCACGACCTTGTCTTTGCCATCATCGCCTTTGAACGCCGGGCTCTCTCTCAAGCAGTCGATCGCCGCCCTGACTGCTGGCGCACGTTTCAACGGTCCCTTTCCGTGCATGGTTTCTCGACGAAATGCGATTCGATCTCCAACATGGCGACTTCACGCAGCTGGGGCATCGGTGCCAGCTTCTCTATCGTGCTTGAAAGGATCCCTTTCGTCAGCGTCTTGTCGAGACGATTGGCTACCTCCTGCCTCTCGTCCAAGTCGATTCGTGCAAACGTATCAGGGCCGAGTGAGACGGAGAATAGCTCGGACACAACCCTCATTGCGCGAATAACGCGACACGTCCGTCAGGTGATCTACGACGAGGAACTGGTACTTGTCTTTGACGGTGATGTAAAATATGGGGGCGATACGGCAAAGGGCATCAAGCCTCAACCTGAAGTTACCCGTGCGCAGGGCAGTTCGGAAGGCGATGTACGCAGGGTATTCGTGGAGGAGGAACTGCTTCCACACAGCGAAAGTCTTGTGGGCCTTCGCCCGCGCCTCTATCCACCGAATCACCTCGTCGACCACCTCGTCATCTTCCACTGGCGTGTCACCTCGCGTCGGAGTTCCCTTCAAGTATTCCTCGCGACACAGAGCCATAAACGCCGACCAAAACGCCGTAATGTGGTGCTGCGCCCGACGATAGTTGCTCCTCTCCCCCGACTTCGAGCCGTCTGTGCACAAATCCTTCGCCACGAACTCCACGCCAACACCCCAGCGTGCCTTCCGTAAGCTGGCGAAGGATTAATATTGGCTGTGTAACTCGCCTTCGGGTGTCCCAGAGCTCCCAGACTGGTTACGAGGCGTAGCCGGTGGAGGAGCCGGGCGACCTATGGGGCTGTTAACCCCACGAGCCTGTTTGCCCCGTCTACCTTTCCGACGGGTCATCTGGCAGCAGCTCGATCTATGCCGACCGTTATTCTATGCATTACATACCTAAACAGGGTAAAACGCAACAAATACAGAATGTTAAGTGACACGTACATTTTACGCTGTGCACACATATCTTAGATCTTGACTCTTCGTTGTCTCTTGAAGCCATGCGTAAGATCTGCTGTTCTGTACGGGCATGCCCATGCAACTGTCGAACTCCGTAGTACATATCACTGATTTTGTAATGCAGCGGCGTTTTACCCTATATGCACGGTCTGAAGTGTTCGTCATGCTTAGCTCGTCATATTACTTGGGGTGGGGATGGTGTATCCAGTGGATGTGCATGCGCAACATGCAAGAGAGGATACTACCGGACCCCCGCGTGGGCTCTCCTGAAATTTGAATTTTGAACACATAATGCTTATCCCCTGCAACACCGAATCGCCTCAAGCTTTTTGCATTAGGTGGCAATGGAACCTAGGAACATGACGGCAGCATTGTTAGTCTGCAAAACGCCAACCTCGCGCAGAGGTCGGTTCGCTTGTGAAGCTCCCTAGCTGATCTTGGCGCTGTTGCCGTGTGGCACGCGCCTGCTGCAGTTCGACTTTCTCGCCCTACCATGCATGTCTGGACGTATAAAACATAACCTGCTGTGCTCTAGCATCAGTTGTACATACCTCTCTTGAAAAATGGGCAGTTTAGCCTCTCGTTCACCCTCTAACGCCGGTGCTGGGTGTGGAGGTCTGTTGCCGAGAGAGCGGCCCAATCAGAGGGGTTTCCACACGGGGCTCCTTTCCCGTTGGAATTGTTTTTTCTCATACTTTTTTTCCTCAGCCGTGCAGCACTGATTATTGACACGCCGTGTCCTTGTTAGACTTAGTATCTACAGCAGCATACATACCATCGACAAAGATTTAGCCGGGTTGCAAAGCGGGTTGCAAGCGACAACACTCGTTGGGAGCCGTGAACCTCAATTGAATCATGGTGCGGGTCACAGCAGCAGTTGCTTGCTGCAGTCAGGCCTGACTATGTTTCACTCTGCGTTAGTTGTGCTCTCTCTGTCTTACAGTCGCGTTTCAATGAGAAGCAACATGCGGGTTGATCGTTGCCACTAAGTGTTGCTGTACCACTGCTGCTACGCTCGTTAGGCCTCCAAAATGACGGCGGGGCCGCCGTCCCGTTAAGTGTGCACACGTTGTACAAACGCCTACCCGGAAGTCTTTTCGATGTGAAGTTTTCCGCTCGCTCTCGTGTCGACATCTCGAAACGGGTCACCTTCCATGCATTAGGGCCAGGCGGAGAGAGAGAGGTAAGCAGGCGTAGATACGTACAGTAGATAGGAAGGAGCCTAAGCCACCACACAGAGATCACCGTTGCCACTACACATGCTCACACCTCACCCGCCACCACCAGCTGGATATAAACCCAGGACTTCTGCTGTGCAGCAGAGCGGGGACGGGTGAAAGCGTTGTTTGATGGTGTGGACGAGAAGCTTTCAGTCTGCTGCTGCTGCTGTGTGGATATGCACTACTGTGCAGCACTTGCTTCCCTCGCTAACGCTTCTAGCAGCAAGTAACAGGCTCTAACAATCGCCCCCGACGCCCCGTATATTTTTTGGTCGCCCTTGGCCTACAGCAGTGTGCACGTCTCATTGTCTCTCTTTTTGGGGCGCGCCAGCGGTGAATCCAAAGATCCGCCTGCCGACAGACGACGAAGCCAGACTGCAGATTGGATTACTTGTGTATAAAGTAGGCTTGTTTTCCCCTGGCTTATACGCTGCCAGCAGCAGGCATCGGGCTTCAACAATCGCTCCCGACGTCTCGTATGATGTGTTTGTTTGGCTGCCGTTGACGTGCAGTAATGTGAACGTCTCAGTCTCTGTTTTGGGGGTGCATCTGCGTGGGGATACGCTCAAAAGATCGGCCTGCATATGACAGGCAGCAGCAGCCCTCGCTTGTTTGGTGATTGGTGGGATGGCGGGTAAGTACCAGGCTCCACCCTCTGAACCAATTTTTGTTTAATTCTTCCGATCCAACATTAAAATTGCCCTACGTATGGGCCCGGTTCCTCGAAAACGCGTGTCGGCAAGAGGCAACTTGTAACCCTCGCCACAAATATTGGGCAGTTGCGTATGGCAATCCATACCACCGACCTTTCACGGGAGCATCAAAAACAAGACCAGTCGTGCCGTTTCGAGTGCAATGCACCTTGTTGGCGCAATCGCAGACCGAAGTCTGTGCCAATGTGTAATTTTGCCGCAGCGTTTCTTGTTGCGCTCGCTCTAGACTTATATATAGACGAATATAAGCGACCTATCCGAAACAGACGTCAGAAAGAGGCATGCAATTGCCCACCGTATTCTAGGGGGTGCGCCTGGAGGGAGCGTCGAAGCGGCTACACGACGTACGTGTTGCGTCTGGAGGACTTGTCTCCATCGAGTACATGATGAGTTAGGACTTCCACCAGGCGTATGGTGGCTTCCTGTAAATGCTCTCTTCACCACGAATAACTGTAGCTTGAACTCGGCACGGCCCGCGTGAACTCGGATCGTCGGACATCGATCGGTGGACAATTCCGCTGATCGATCGAAAACCAAGTTATTATTTTATCCGATATTCCTCGCGAGCCCTCTGCTGTTGCAGGTGGTATTCGTCACCGATGCTGAATTTGCCACGAGTCTGTTGTGTTTTGGGATTTTTCGGGCTATCCGCTTTCTCACGGGTGGTTGTCTAGCTCAGAGGGCTTAAAATCCTTACGAAGATGACGGCACCACTGTATTCGTGAGACGAACACTACCATGCCTGTCGATCAGCTGATACCTGTTGATCGCACACGAGAGAACACATGTTTCGTAGTTGGCCCCACCATCCCTCCACCTTTGGGATAAGGATATGCCTACCTCAAGGTTTCGGTGTTGCTGAGGACAAGCGATCGGCGGTCACATTTCGATTTCCTCTGTTATACGCGAGGTTGTTGTGAGCACGGTCTTACCCGCCTAAGGTTCCGAGAGCACGGTCAGAACACGTGGGCGTCGAAAATGGTGCAGCAGAATCTGCTATCTGATGCCTAACGAAAAGCATGCACTACTCCCATGCGCCGCCAATCAAGTGAGCAGTCGCAGTAGAGGCAGCATAAGCCTTAATCTTAGCCTGAGCCTGAGCCTTGTACCCTTCGCCTGAGCAGAACTCTGTATGATCGGACTCTCGACAAAAGGTTCTGACGCAGTTCAAGATCCCTCACTTTAACTCTGCCCCACCCCCGTCGTGTGTTGTCAGGGTTCAGGGTACATTTGGTGAGGCGGCCGTGGAAAGCAGTTCCCAACCACGTATTCCATGGCCGCGGTTGCTGTCGAATGGTCGGGGGAGGACATGCGAGACCGTGCGATCCACGAATTACAGGTCACGGTTGTATCCGAGGACTGTCAGGCCGTACAATGATCTTGCCTTGGCCTGTGCAACGCGTGTCGAGAAGGCGTTCCAGTGGAGCGCATGCTTGTCGGCGAATGGATACCGCAGACACTCCTGGCAATTGTCCTCCGAAATGCGGTTCAAGTGCAGCAGGCGGCCGAGATCCCACCGACGAGAGTCTTACAACCTCGTAAGGTGCTCAGGTTGGGGTGAACTTTCACTCAACGCGCAGCGCGGGTCAAGGCCTCCGACCAGGCTCCTGACTCATCGGCGGATGCTCCAAGCGTGGGTAACGTGGATTTGAGCGAGGTGCAATGGCCTGAGGGCATCAAAGAAATTGACCTGCTGCTGCTCGACGAGGTGATTGAAGGGATGTTGTGGTGGGTCTGGAGTGCTTTTCATTCTGCGCGCTCGGACTTCCCTACGTCCTTTTACTACTTGTATAGAGGCTCTTTGAATCGTTAGCTTCTTGGAGCGAGATTTTCTTCGGGCCTGCGAGAGATCTTCCTCGGAGAAGCTTTTGACCAGCCCATCGAAGACGTTGTGTGGCCACAAGGACTTGAGAGACTGTCTCTATCTCCCTGGCTGCGATCAGCCTATCGACAACCTGTGGTGGGCGCCGGCGCTGAAATCCTTGGAATCTTCAACACCTTCGGAGGTTCGCCTGATGGAAACCCCGAACACGAATTTGCACGAGCCCCGCCTTGTGGGTGTCTTCGACTCCCCCTTCACTACTCTGCCAGCGAGCCTTGCGACTCTTTGGCTTGGCGACAGCTTCTGTCAGTCGCTTGAAGACGTTACTTGGCCGAGCGGGCTTGTCACTTTGGGGCTCGGTTCTACTCTTTCAGAGTTCGACAGCGTTTCGTGGTCCTCGAATCTTCGAAACTTATACTTGGTGGACGAGATAGAATGGGCAGAGTACCCTCCTGGCTGCAGGGTGAACGTCGTGATGGATTTCGACATTGAGAGCGCTATCCATGTCGCGGCGGTTGATTATTACCATGATCTGGAGCATTTGGACGAGTGTTGCATCCATACGGGCTCTTGGGATAACGGGAATGAGGACTACCTCGAGGTCCACGAGCAGCAAGAGGGCTACCAAATATTGTAAACACGATGTAGCGTGCCTTGTCTACAGGCTTGAATGTGGAAAAGGCGGTGGAGGGACCGTTATGTCAGCAACTAGCAATGATTATTCACGCGAAACGTGTTGTTGGTAGGAAGGCCCTTGAGTGCGCGGAGGTTCTTCATTGGTAGGGCTATGGGCTTGATTTCGATGCTGGAGCCTTCTGTCCTCTTGTTGAATGGCGATAGAAGGTAAGAAGCAAGCTTGCGTTGCTGTACTTCCTGGGCGTATGTAGAAGCTGGCGCCGTTGCGGGAATGTGAAACAATAGATCATGTGGCTGTCAAACTTTCCAAACTTGCTGATGTACATTAGAAGCTTCATCTTGTCCCGGTAGCGCAGTGATTAAGAGCATAAATTGGTGATCGGTTTCGGCGTAGAGGGCACATTTTTCTGCACCCATCACTGCTAAGAGCATTAATTGGCCGTTGGCGGGTTTGGCCAGTATGCCACGTCGTCATTAAAAGATATGTCCATCCCCTGTTTTTGTTTCCTTTCGGCTTGAGGCTTGCCCTCGGCTAGTCAAGCCTTCGCCTTGCAGGGCACCACGATGCTGTAGTGTCGGGGGTGTACACTTTTAGGCATAGAAGAGCTTGGCATTCGCACGATCACTTATTATGAAGAGTTGAGGGCGGGTATTGCAACGTTGATTATTGGTGCCTGATCTGCAAGTAGGGCAAAATCTTTCACGTTCCCTACGGATCTATCTCCGGATTGACGAGCCTGCTCCCCCAGGGTCCCAACTAGGCGGGAGACTGTGCTCTGCAGGAACAATGAACAAGGCGGGTGTAGAGCTAGCATCTGTGGTAAAATTGAGGCCAGGGCAGCTTCTAGGACCATGACAGCATGGATCGGACGGAATCCCCAAAACCTCAAAGCGAATTTTCGTACATAGTCTGGCGATCGACGCAAATGATCACGGGTTTTCGCACTGATATGCGGGAAAACTCCGTGTCAGTCTGTTTGCTTCACATTGTCTCTCTTAAGGTGGAAGGAACGGCGGCACGGTAAGAATCAATAGTGATTGGCAGAAGAACTGATTGCCGATTCGCAACGGCAAGGTGACCAGAGAACAAGCGAGCCGTGGAAAGTGAAGCAGAGGATGTGAATGGGAATCTGAAGGAGGCAATGCCACAGGCAATAAACGCCCAACCCCCCGCTTGAATGCCGTGCAATTTCTACGCCAGAACCGATACAATGAAATAGGGAGGTAGGGGAATAGGGTTTGCCGCATGGTCGATCGATGATTGACGAAGAGCACAACAAATGAATTCGATGCTGGAACATTGGTTTCGGCAACAATTTCAAACCTGACAGATGGCTTACCCCTTCCGAAGACATCCTTCCACGTCATCCTCACACAGAAGGGAGTCGCACAGGTGATTATACCTAACAAGTTCTATCAAATATGGACAAAAAGCAAAAATTCGACATCATGTTTTTGCCCGGCATAGCATCAAATATCAGCTGGCGCGAGTGGAAAGCCAATATTTTGAGGTGGTCATTCGCATGCAGACACAAATTTCAGCCCTCTCCTGTTTAATTGCGAGTCATTGTCTCAGAGTATCCGCCAGCTTCTTTTGACTATCGATGGGAGGCCGCTGCTGCATGTTTCCTTGCCCAATTGACCTCGCCGACCGTCCAAAATGAAACCAGACGTGAGAAGCTGTACCAGCATGATCCTCATCTATAAGTGACTCACAGCCAGAACGAATCACAGCGATCAGGACAGTAGCGCCCCGGCAAAACTCGAGCGTGGGACTGACGTGCATGATGAAGACAGCACAAACGCCTCACGTCTGTCAATGTCTTAGAATCCATAACTGCTGTTGCTGAAAACATGTGTCATCTCCGCGGAACAGCACCGCCGCGGCAGGCGAAACATTGGCTATCACGCCGCGGGGAAACTCTCCCAATCCTGCAAATCCTGCATGAGGATTTCACCACCGTTGTATAGAAACCTCTACCATGGATTCCGACTGGAGAAGAAGCTGCAGTGTGCAGAACGCCAAGGGAAGAAGAAGGGTGCATAGTTTCAACCAAGTCGAAACTCTTTTCAACCTCTCGTGTCTGTTGCCGGGTTGTGTGCTCGCCACACACACTGACTATGGATCATCCTGATGCGGTTGGGAGGACATTGTTGATGTGTGGATCGCGGCGGTACGGTAGAACAAGCCGTATTCTACCATGCACACGTTCACGGATCACATGTGGGAGATTCAAAAGCTTGGACAAGAGCTCTTCACCGCAGGCACAACGACGCATTGACCATCGGTCGCACAAAGTCATTGATAAGCCGACCTCGATTGGAACGGGCTTCCACGACGAAATTACAGCAGGCGGTTCATTTCACCTAACCCACCAAATACTGCGACAGTTGGCTGATTCCCTGATACTCTATTGAATCATGCTAGCCAACAAAAATAGACACCCACGTGCCCGCCTAGTCTAATTGGTAGAGTTCGTTTGCGCTTTTGAGTGTTCACCCTCGGCAACTATTTCGACTTTCATGTCGACGAGACCAAAGTACGCAAAAAACGAAAGTTCGACATTCTTCTGGTGATCAATCAATGTTGCAGCATGCACCACACAACGAACGTGGAGAAAACCTCATTTTGGTCTTCCTCCCGTATGACCCCGGCTGACGGGTCAAAAAATATCCCAAGGTGCAAAGACTTGCTCGGGGACCATGCCACGAAAGACACACACGTATGGAACCTGTATTGTTCGCATGTGGGGCGCAATGTTCTCAACCGGAACCAACAAAAGGGTGGGGAGCAACGTCCTTCGGGGAAGCCCGTTTTTTTGCGCATACTCAAGCGTAAGACTTTTCATCCCTGTTCTGCCCGTAACTGAAAATGCCAACTACCCTGAATGCGATGGCCCAGACGTCAACGGTAGGGTTCAAACTCTGGAGGAATTAGTCGCGGGCCTTCACTTCATACCGGTGCTCACAGCATTTGTGCCGTTTTCTCCAACCCATGGTCACCGAGAGTTCCTCGCCCTGAGGTCCCCCAGCCACCCCTCCTGCGGTGCGTTGCCTTCGATAGTGCAGCACTATCTTCTCGGTGTACTTGATTACAGCGCTTTCCACCCAGGCCAGGAACTGAAGCGAGCGAAAAACTCACTGTGCAAGAAAAGATTGCTCACGCCGGGATTCGAACCACTGAAGCCCACCACTGCAAGGTTTTTGAGGGTACCAACAATCATAGACTACCGGGGCGACCGTGACAATGCTCGCCGCCTGTTTTAACAGCATTAATGGGCACTCAATCATGGAATCATGTGTAATTAGACCGCAACCCAAGACGGAGCTGACCGAACAACGAAGAAACTCCTTGCTCGACCTACTGTACAAGACCTTCCTACGAACACGGTCCGAGAATAACAGCATTGCTCACTTTTCCTAGTACCACGAATCTCCCTTACCACATTCAGCACTGGACAAAAGTGCGTCACATCTTGGTCACAATTCATAGTAGTCCTTGAAAGCGACCCGGTAGTCGTGATCTACATCGTATACAGGTGCGCCATCGTAGAGGTCATCGTAGTCCACGTCGTACATGTCATCATCCGGGTCATCCTTCACGACAGTCACCTTACAGCCGGAAGGGGGGCGCTCTACCCAATCGACCTCTCTCACCAAGTACAGGTTTCGAAGATTCGAGGGCCACGAAACACCGCGATGCAGCTCTTCAAAACTACAACCAAGCCCTAAAGTAACAAGCCCACTTGGCCAGTTCACGCTTTCAAGGGACTGACCAAACTCGTCACCAAGCCAAAGAGTCTCGAGGCTCGCTGGCAAAGTAGTGAAGGGGGAGTCGAAGACACCCACAAGGTCAAGCTCGTCTAAACGCGTATTTGGGTCTTCGCGGAGGCAGATCTGCAACGGCGAGGTAAATTCCAAGGACTTCAATGCCGGCGGCCACCGCACGTTGTCAACAGGCTGATTGCAGCCAGGGAGGGACAGTCTCTCAAGCCCTTGCGGCCACACAACGTCTTCGATGGGCTGGTCGAAAGCATCCCCAAGGAAGATCTCCCGCAGACCCGCAGGAAAATTCGCCCCAACAAGCGAACGATTGAATGAGCCTCTATCTGACACGTGCCAAGCCCCGCACCCAGATCGGAGGGCACAGAATGATAGGCACTCCAGACCCAACGGCCACGCCATCCCTTCCACCGGCTTGTCGAATAGAATCAAGGAAATCTCCCTGGTGCCTTCGGGCCATTGCACCTCGTTAAAGTCGACGTCGCCCACGCTTGGAGTACCTGCCGAAGGTTTAGGAACCTGTCCGGTAGACTCAGCCCACCATGCATGGCTACGGAATGTCCACTCCAACCTGAGCACCCTGCGAGGGTGCAGGACTCTCGTTGGTGGGATCTCGGCCTCCCGCTGCGCTTGAACGGCATTGGGGAGGACCATTGCCAGGAGTATCTGCGGCACCCATTCGCGGACAAGCATGCGCTCCACTGGAACCCCTTCTCGACACGCGTTGCATAGGCCCAGGCAAGATTCTTGTACGGACCGACAATCCTTCATGAAGCCGGAAACAACAGCGACCTGCAATCCTCGAAGCGCACGGTCTCGCATGTGCTCCTCACTCGACCAATTTTCCATAGCGACTGCCGCCATGGTAGATGTCGTTAAGGATTGCCTCACTAGGATGAACCCTGTGACGAAAAGGGCGTGGTGGGGCCGGGCAGATTCAACGTAAGGGCTCTTGAACCACGGCGATCAAGATTTTGGGGAGCCCAAAAAGAGCTCTACTCAGGTTATATGGTAAGGCATAGGCAAATGCTGCTACTCCTGCGACTGCGACGGTGTATGGTGAGGTCTACGAATGTCAGTCTCTGCGGCAGCGGTAAGTCGTACGTACTCTCGGAAACCGAGGCAGGTGGGGTTGTCGGCACAACTATCGGCCTGACGCTGGTCATGAAGGGCGTGTTCATGGGTGTGCAGTTCAGAGTGTTTCCACTGACGCATTAAGAGCGAGAGAGGACTGCTGAACCCGGCTCACGGTAACCTCACCGCTGTCGCCGGGAGGACAGGACAATTCCATGTGTGACTTGAAATTGTCCTTTCTCAGGTGGAAACCGGGACCACAGGGTGGTGACAGAATGGCACGAATAGTTGGGGCGCATATTAACTCGGGTGCAGTGGCTTCATGCCCGCTGAATCGAATCGTATGGGCAGGTTCCAACACTTTCAGCAGCGCGCTTGTCGCGGTAAAAGATTCCGGCCCTGCCCCAAGAACGTCACCTTGTTGCACCAAAATCAAAGTCCAAGGTTTTCAAAGTCATTGCGTGTTCGGTCTGGATGACGAAGTGCGATTTGCAATGGGAAAGGGACTGGTTCGTTCTCGATCGGCGGACAAGTCCGCCAATCTGAGTGTAAGCCCACCGTTCCGGGCTCAAGCACCAATTACCTGCAATTGAAACATCGACAGCACCAGATTCATCAGCAAAAAAAAAAATCGCTTGTGCTCGGCTATTTTCGCGCTACCACTTCTTTCGGCAAGACACACCGTTTGACGTATAACATGCCTCCATTGACGCCGGGGATGATGCGGTGTCGTCCCCTGAAACCCTTAAGACGCCTCACCACCAAAAATTCGGGGTTTCAAAGAAAGCCATGTAACAAAGGGGTTCTTGCCAACCGATCTCGATCTTGAGCGGTTTCGAAATCGACCGAATTAGCACTCGGCAGATGACATACAAGACACATGAGCCCACTCCTTCAGTGCTGTGCAAATGCAAATCCGTGAGTTGTGACACAAGACAACGGTTGGGGCCTGTCGCAAAGTCAGTCGACCTCCACGCACCTTCTCAAACCGAGACGAAACAGACGACACGAGGGCTTAATTTAATGCTTTTTCGTTGCGGAGTACCGATGCGGGCACATTTTCCAGTCTCAGGAAGACATGATGGAGCAAGCCGCGTGCGCATTGGTACGCCCAGATATATTGCTGGGGGCGTGCTGTCGCTGGCTGCAGCTTTGGTCCGAAATGTCCGCGCAAGTCTGGTCCCCTGTTCCGTTCACGATTCCTTGCTGTATACGCCGTCACAGATCTAGGCCCTCGAGCTGGTGCTCTACAGCAGAGGCAGTCAACTCAGTAGCTACCTAGGACCAGCAGTTCGGGTGATTGGTCTGTTCCGGAGCGCACAGCAGGGAATGGTGAATAGTATGGACCCAGATTGACGGGATTTTCGGAACAACACCGCTGCAGCCTTCGACACACAGCCCCAGCAACAGGTCTGGGCGTGCCAAAGCGCACGCTGCTTTCCATGATGTCCTCTACTTGAACGTGTGCTCAGATCGGGACTTCCCACGCTGGAAGGTCGTTGTTGGCGTCCTCATGCATGGGGTCCAGACTTGTCCTTACTATGATACCGTAGTTGGCGAGAACCCTCTTGCAGCGGAGATTATTTTGCTTGCATCGAGCCGCTCCCCCCCCTGCACCTCCACAAAAAGAAGGTCTGCGCTGACTCTTTTTTTCGTTAGCACACTCTCACATTGGGGAGTTTCGGAAAAACATTTTGTTTTGCCCAGACAAAATTGCCCAGAAAACATTGGCATTTAAAAGATCCGAAAAGAGGCTCATATTAATATTCGGCATACCGTCATATCTGCCCCCCCCTAATTGGCCGAAAGACTCGCGCTTCCCTTGTCTACACAAGAAAGAAAAACAGGTTGTTGTTGTTGCTTGGTTGCCTACTGCAATTTAACATTGAAGGTGTCAGAAGCATCTAGCTGTGGTGTTGTCACCGCAGAAAAACACCCTCAAGGCTTCTTGCAAGCATACTCTCAGCCGCTCAGGTGGCTTCTTGTTTCAATCAAGCGACCGAGAGAGGCAGCAGCTTCAACCTGGAAGAATCGCCCTCCCACGGCGATGATTTAAGCAGGATTCAAACCCCAACAGCTGTCTAGAGGAGGTGGCGCCGATAGAGAGTACGGCAACTTTTGGGCCACCTCCCAGCAGTTCGAGTCACCTACAGCTCATGGGTCTGCGTGTTCTCCTGAGCTGGTTGTAGGCAAGAATAATGCTCTATTTTTCACGCCTTGTGAACCCTGTCTCATTCCACCCTTCCTTCCTTATCGATTCCATAGAGAGCGCTGTCCCTTCACCAGGCACAAACATGTAGACACACACCTTCCACATCGCAGGAGCTAGTCTGGCTAGTGGTGGTAACATGAGGCTCGGACGAGTCTGTACCCTGCGATGCCATCTTTTGTGGTTCTACTCTTTCCGCTGAGAATCTGAGGCAGTCGAACAGCAACCCATGCCTCAGACATTTTGAAGGTGGTGAGAGGATGGGTGTTAATCTGAGCGGTGGGCCGAAATAGCGCCGTCTGTTACTTTTGGAGCAGAATATTGCGAAAAAAGTCAGAGTTCTCAAACCTTGCTTGCAACTTCTCTCAAGTACGATCATTGTGGCTGTTGCGCAAAAGTTTTGAAACTTCTTCTCTGGAGCAAAAAGCTGCAATCTGGAGAAAAAGTTCTGCAGCTTGCTTCGCGACGAAGGTGTCGAACAAAGCTGCGCGGCGAGACTTCCACCAATCCACGTCAAGCTGCTACCCCTACCACACACACGTAAACCCTCTCTCCAGCTTCGATCAGGAATGCCGTGTTCACTGATACCTGGACGAATGCTTTACGACTTGCCTCAGGAATGGTATCTGGAAGGAGGTGATGTCATGGGCTGTGGGGTTTTGCCAAGGTTTGGCACCGTGAGGTGCCGAATGCGCCGGGAAAACAAGTTTGTGCTGACGCGCGACCGTCACGGCCGCGATTTCGGTGTTATTGACCGCCACGGGTTTGGTTTTGTACCGATAACTTTCCGAAGGAGGAAGCAACAACAATAGCAAGGCCACTCGGCGGGAAGTAGTTCTCTGCTCCCTTTTTCATGTCCAAGGTTTGGTGCCGTGGAGTATCGTTCGTGCGCGTCGGAAATAAAGTTTTGGTTGACCATAAAATACTGACGTTAAAGAGCGGTTGGTTCAAGTCCGTGGGGACTGTGTGCTCATGGTTTGGTTTTCCAGCGACAACTTTTCGAAGGAGAAGGCAACAGCCACTAACAGCAATGACGGGGGAGGTAGCTCTACCCCGCATCTTTCTGGTACCAGGATAGATAGATGCCTTGGGGTATCGTGAGCGTGGAAAAGAAGTTGCAACTGCACTCTCCCGCATGCTCTGATCGGTTTCTTCGCGGTGTGGTATGAAGCGTTGTGCCCGCTTCTCGGCGTTGCTAAACAAAAAAAAATCACTCCTCCGCATTCCGCCAGTCCTGTGCACAACACGTTCTCGTCCCACAAAGAGCGTGCACCAAAGTTCCATCGACAAAAGTTCCCGACCAAAAGTTGCAATAAGAACTGCAGTTTTTATAGCAACTTCCTGCTCCATAAGTGAAAAAAAAAATTATCCGAACATCCGAACCCTTGGTTTGTCTGGGCCATTTGTCTGACCCCAAAAAAATAGTGTTCCGAAACGCCCAATATTATTGTCTCACGGGCAGCCTTATTGTCGGGTAGGAGCTCCTATCCATGGTCACTACAGCATTCGGTCTACACGACACACAGGACAAAGTTGACGTTGGGGGCAAGTCAAGTGCGTGCACCCGCCATCTCGTAGCAGCTCAACTCTCTGTGGCAGGAGTGTCCAGCTGCTACAGCTGCAGATTCCGACACAGGAGCTTGAGATACTGCAGTAGTACATTAAACCATGGGGACAGGAGGAGGATCGATATCAACGAACTTGAGGACCCATTGACAAATATTCTCTCTCACCACCTATCCTTTCCTTGGCAGCTTCGCTCTTGATCAAGGGCGTGAGCACCACAAAAATATCAGGGTCTGGGGGCTGTCCAGACCTTGTTGCCTTATGCATATGCATATGTGTGAGGTGCCTTGGGGGCACAACAGATGGACGAACTACCCTGAACTGACAACAAATTGACAGTCCCGCTATTGCCCCCATTTCTCCCGCATCTCAACCTGTCAACGTCATCTGCGAGCAACGCGTGGGTGGTCTTTCTTCCTGCTGCTGAATTGTAAACCAAGGGGACCGATCGAGAATGAAGCACCAAGGGACCGGAGGTAAGCAAGATGTCATGATCATGATGCGTGTCTCGCCTTGAACCTGTGACGGCGATTCAAAGGTATCCATACATGCACTGTACAGCTACATCTGCTTTTGTGTGTGCATCTGGGTTTCAAAACCAAATTTGTCGAGAAGCGCTGCTTGTACCCTTTGTGTCTCCCAGGTCTGCGGAACCAACGGGTGCGTGCGTGACTTCTGTAGGCCGTCTTTGATTGCTCATATTGTGGAGAGGAAACTCCATGTGTGCGTGAATCGGCTGGCATAATGATGGACATGTACTACAGTACGCAACATGGACAACGTTCGGCAGGGTGGCAAACGGCGGGGTGCAGAGCGAGAACGCTCGTTTGCGAGCCGTGAACCTCAATTGAATCATATTGCGGGTCACAGTCAGGCTTGACTTCGTTTCACATTGGGTGATGCTTTCCCTGTCTTGAAAACGCGTGTCGAAGAGAAACAACAAGCGGGTCGGTGATCGCTGCAAAGCGTAGCTGTACCACTGATACTACTGCTGTAGTCTATGCCTGCCCTCGTCAGAATATCCAAAATCCGAGAACACCAAAGCCGAAGAATTTTCGATGGCAGATGTCTCCGGTTGTGTACGGCCTGACGTGTCGAAAACTTGTATCGGCCACAAGCAATCGCTACTGCTGTGGCCATCGCCACGACTATCGGACAGTTGTGTATTGGCAATCAATACCGCCAACCTTCACAGGAGCATGAACAACAAGGCAAGTCGTGCCGTTTCGCGTGCACTTCACCTCATTGCACAATCGCAAACCGAAGTCTGTGCCAACGTGAAATTCTTGCCGCAGTGCTTTGTTATTGCCCTCGCTCTAGACTGCATAATACTTGCGACCTATCCGAATCGTACGTCAGAAAGAGGCATGCACTGGCCCACCTTTTTTGGGGGGGTGCGCCTGGAGGGAGCGTCGAAGCGGCAACACGACGTATGTGTTGCGTCTGGAGGAGTTGTCTCCATCATGAAAATGATAAGATAGAACTTCCAACTGGCGAATGGTGGATGCTCTCTTCACCGCGGATAACCGTAGGTTGAGCTCGAACCGGCCTGTGTGAACGTGGATCGTCGGACCTCGATCGGTGGACCATTCCGCTGATCGATCGAAAACCAAGTTACTTCTATTATGTGCTTCGCGAGCCCGCTACTGTTGCGTGGTACTCGTCACAAAAGCTGTATTTTCTGCTTCATATTTTGTGATTGGGTATGGGTCGGGCCATCCGTGTTTTCACCGTTGGTTTTCTTGTTCAGAGGGCTTGAAACCCTTACGACGATTACGGCACTGCTGTATGAGTGAGGCGAACACAACCATGCCTGTCGATCAGCTGATACCAATTCATGGCACCCGAGCAAACATGTTCCCCAAGTTGGCTCCACCATCCCTCCACCATTGTAAGGATACTCCTACACCTTACCGTTTTGATGTTTTGCTGAGGACAAACGATGGGCGGTCACATAGCGATTTCCCATGTCTTTGGTTGTTGTGAGCACGACCTTCCCCGCCTTAGGTTCTGAGAGAACGGTCAGAACACGTGGGCGTCGATATTGCTACAGCAGAGACTGCTATCTGATGCCCAACGAAAAGCATGCACTATTCCCACGCGCCGCCAATCAAGCAAGCAGTCGCAGTAACGGCAGCCCAAGCCTGAGCCTGAGCCTTTCAGCCTTAGCTTGAGCAAAACTCTGTATGATTGGACTCCCCACAAATGATTCTGACGCAGTTCAAGATCCCTCACGCTACTCTGCCCCCTCCCCACCCCCGTCGTGTGTTGTCAGGGCTCAGGGTACAGTTTGGTGAGGCGGCCGTGGAAAGCAGTTGCGGTTGCTGTCGAAGAATGGTCGAGTGAGGAGCATTGAGTGCATGCGAGACCGTGCGCTTCGCGCATTTACAGGTCGCCCATTACGGGTCACCGGTCACCGTTGTGTCCGGCTTCCTGAAGGGCTGTCGGACAACGATCTTGCCTTGGCCTGTGCAAAGCATGTCGAGATGACGTTCCAGTGGAGCGCATGCTTGTCGGCGAAGGGATACCGCAGACACTCCTGGGAATGGTCCTCCCAACTGCGGTTCAAGGGCAGTAAGAGGCGGAAATCCCACCAGGAGAGTCCTGAAACCTCGCAGGGTACCCAGGTTGGAGTGGACTTTCACTCAACGGGTAGATGGCGAGGGGCAAGGTCACCGACAAGCCTCCTGACTCGTAGGCGGGTGCTCCAAGCGTGGGTAACGTCGACTTGAGCGAGGTTCAATGGCCTGAGGGCATCAAAGAGATTCAACTGCTGCTGTTCGACGAGGCGGTTGAAGGGGTGGTGCCGGTGGGTCTGGAACGTCTTTCATTCTGCGCGCTCCGACTTTCCTGCGGGCCTTCTGACTGCACGTCTTGAGACCCTGTCAATCGTTCGCTTGTTGGAACGAATTTTCCTTCGGGCCTGCGAGAGATCTTTCTTGGAGAAGCTTTTGACCAGCCTATGGAAGACGTCGTGTGGCTGGACAGACTTGAGTGATTGCCTCTCTCTGGCTGCAATCAGCCTATTGATAACGTGAGGTAGCCGCCGGCGCTGAAATCGTTGGAATTTTCAACACCTTCGGGGATTCGCTTACTGGAAAACCCGAGCACGCATTTTCGCGAACTTGACCTTGTAGGTGTCTCCGACTAACCCTTTACTACTTTGCGGGCGAGCCTTGAGACTCCTTGACTAGACAACAACGTCTGTCAGCCGCTTGAAGGTGTTCACTGGCCGAGTGAGCTTCTCACTTTGGGGCTTGGTTCTACTTTACAGGGCTCGACAGCCCTCGAATCTTTGAAACCTATACTGGGTGGACGATATAGATTGAGCAGATCCCCCTGGCTGCAGGGTGAACGTCGTGATGGATTTCTACATTGAGAGCGCTGTTTGGGGGTTTGATAATGAACATGATTGTTCCATGACCTGGAGTGTTTGGACGATGTCTGCATCTGTATGGGCTTTTTGGATGACGGGAGTCTGGACTATTTCGAGGTCTACGACCAGCAGGAGGACTACGAAATGTTGAGAGCACGATGTAGCGTGCCTTGTCTATAGTCGTGATAGTGGAAAAGGCGGTTGAATGGCCGTCGTGTCAGCAACTATCAATGATTTATCACGCGAGACGTGTTGGTAGGAAGGCCTTTCAGTCTGAGCAGGAATTTTCGTCATTGGTAGGTTTGCCATTGGCTTGAGTTCGATGCATTGCTAGAGCCTTCTGTGCCATGCTTGAATGGCGACAGAAAGTACGAAACCTGCGTTGCCGTACTTGCTGGGTTTATTTTGAAGAAGCCGTCGCGAAAACTTGTAACAACGGAACACGTGGCCGTCAAACGTTCTGATGTAGATAAGAATCTTCATCTTGTCCAGTCAGCACAGTGTTTAGGGCACAAATTGGTGATCGGTTTCGGCGTAAAGAGCATACTCTTCTGCACCCATCATTTGTTGGCAGTTTGCGGGTATGGCCATGAATTCCACGTCATTGTTCAATGGTAGGTCCACGCCCTGTTTTTGTTTTCTTTGGGCTCAAGGCTTGCCCTCGGCTCGTCAAGCCTTGGCCTCGCAGGGCGCCACGATGTTGCAGTGTCGGGGGTGTACACGATTAGACATGTAAGAGCTTGGCATTCGCAAGATCACTTGTTTTCAAGAGTTGGAGGGCGGGTATTGAAACGCTGGCTAATGGTGCCTGGTCTGAAAGGCAGGCAGTATCTTTCACGTTCCCTACGGACCCATCGCCGGGTTCACGAACCTGCTCCCCCAGGGTCCCAACCAGGCCGGAGAATGCGCTCTGCAGGAACAATGAAGAAGGTGGGTATCTGGAGGTTTCGATACTACTGTGGTATGAACGAAGGCCAGGGCAGCTTCTAGGACCATGACAGCATGGATCGGACGGAATCCCCAAACCTGAAACGAAGTGAGTTACAAAGTCCGGAGATCATGGAAGTTTTCAAGGGCTTTCGTAATGAAGTGCGGGTTGCTCTCCGTGTCACGTTGTTTGCTCGATAGTGCCTCTCTCAAGGTGGAAGAAACCGCGGGCACGAGGGGAGAGTGTCGTGCATGCCGTAGTCGTTGGACCATTGACCTCGCATCCCTACAAAGCCGGGACGGAGCACGCCAGGTTTTCACCGGACCAGGCTCTCACATCACCAAGTGCGAAGCAGCGTGAGGTATTCGGCGAGTCGCATGAAGGGTGCGCTGCATCGTGCTAAGCGTGTTCGGCATCTTGCGTTTGCTTCCTTGCATTCGGATGACAGCTGCGAATGACTAAATATATTTTCTGGTGCTTCCGCTTTCAGATACACTTATGAGCACTGTGTAACTGCCTCGAGGGTGCTTGACCATTTTAACACTACGTGGTGAGATCATCCCCTTCGCCCGGAGTGAGGGTTCTCGACCACGCACAACATTATCAACTCGACCAACATTACGGCTACCGCAGAAAGAGCACCAAAGGCAAAAAAAACGGTAACCTGGTTCCGAGCTCACGAAGAGATCGTCTTGTTGTACAACATCAATGCCAAGCGACGAAAACACAACCCCGATGGCAAACACCGGGGGTGCGGGGGACAAACGGTGGAAATGGTAGGGATGAAAATAGTCTATCATGATTTGTCACAAGAATTGACAGCCCGCTTCAAAACGGCAACGGTATCCAGAGAGCAAGCGAGCTGTGGAAGGTGGCGCGGAGGATGTGAAGGGGATCCGATGGAGGCAACGCCACAGTCAACCAACACCACCCGCCACTCATATGCCTTGCAATTGCTATGTAAAGCCGGTACGATGAAATAGGGAAGTATCTAGGTGATGGGTCGAGGTCTAACGAAGAACACAACAAATGACGTCGATGCTGAAGCATTGGTTTCGGGAACGACTTCACATTCTGACGCACAACTTGTCACGTCCGAAGACATCCTTGCCCATCATCCGCACACACAAGAGATCGCAGATGTGAGTACACTCAACAAGTCATATCGAACATGAAAAGATCACAAATTTCGACATCACGTTTTTGTCCGGCATAGCATCCAATATCAGCTAGCGCCAGGTGAAAGCCAACACTTTGAAGTAGTGTGCCCTATCATGTAGGCACAAATTTCAGCCCGCTTCTGTTCACTTGCGAACGTCATTGTCTCAGAGTCTCCGCTAGTTTCTTCCGCCTATCGATCGGAGGACGCTGCTGCATGTTTCCTTGCCCGATTGGACTCGCCAACCGTGCAAAATGAGACCAAACGCGAGCAGCTGTACCAGCATGATCCTCGTCTATAAGTGACTCACAGCCAGACTGACTCACGGCCAGAATGAATCACAGCGATCAGGACAGTAGCGTCCCGGTATAACTCGAGCGTGGGACTGACATGCATGATGAAGACAGCACAAGCGTTTCACGTCTATCGATGTCTTAGAATCCACAACTGCTGTTGTTGAAAACATGGGCCATCGCCGCCGAACAGCAACGCCGCGGCGGACAAAACACTGCCTGTCACGCCGCGGGGAAACTCTCCCAATCCTGTATGAGGATGTCACCACCGTTTGAACAATATCCCTTACCATGGATTCCGACTGGAGAAGAAGCCGCCGTGTACATCACGCCAAGAGGAGAACAAGGGGGCAAAGCTTCTACCAACTTGAACCTCATTCACCTTTCGTGATGTTGCGGTGTTGTGTGCTCACCACGAACACCGGGTCTGCGTTCAGAAAGGAAAATCCCGACGCTGTTATGTCGATGTCATGGATGTGCGAATCGCTGTGGCATGATGAACAAAGCGTAGTCTACCTCGAACAGGTTCCATGAATGATATGCGGGAGCTGCGAAAGTTTGGACAAGAGGCCCTCACTTTGCAGGCACGAGGGGGAATCGACCATCGGTCGCACAATATTATTGATAGACCACCTCGATTGGAACTGGCTTCACAACGGCGTTTTCAGCAAGCACTTCATTTCACCCAATTGATCTTGTAGTCTACAATATGATCGTTGGCTACTTTTACAGTTGATCATGCGGGCCTACAGAGAGCAGACACGTCCCCGTCTACATCGTCAAAGTTGTAGGGTATGTTTGCGTTTCTGCGTGTTCCCACTGCAACCATTTCGACCTCCGTGCCGACCAGACCAAAGCACGACTTTTCGGTTGCCCGAAAAAGTCCATTAACTGTGCCCAGACGTTAACGGCAGGGTTACGACACTGGAGGAACCAATCGCGGTAGGACCTGATGTGTGATACTGCATAACGCGCCGAGAGAAGAAGAGTTGAGACCGATCGAGCGGCGTCACTATATTTCTCGGGGGGGTCTTCACTTCATATCAGCGCTCTGAAGAAACCGAAATCAAACTCCTACTAAGTCTAGATCACATGGTCTAATGGTTTGATTTCGGCTTCTTTAGCTCACAGCACTTGCGCCACATACTCCAACACATGGTCACACATGAAGGGTTCTCCTCCCTGAGGTTTCCTACCCACCCTCCTGTTCGTGGGTCTGCGAACATTGGTGTTGGATACACGTGCTGGATGATTTTGTGTCACGCAGACTGGGAAGATTACCGTTTTGGTAGGGGGCACCGTGATGATTCACGGGGCCCCTCCTTGCTGTGGGAGCCGCTCTTTGAGCACTTCCTCTTTCGTCCGTGTGAAGGACAGTCGTCGTCCTCTCGTGACGTGAATACATCACCAAAACAGTCTCACCCGATAAATATGTGGCGTAGGCCGCAAACACTCTAGAGTTTGCCCCTCGAGGGAAGCCACATCGGGATGAGCTCTGCTGGAGACGAAGAGCGCGCTGCTGCGAGCGGAGAACAGATCCGCCCGCCAGTGCAGGAGGGCCGCGACGCGGAGCTTGCAAGTTTGCAACGGCAGATTTCGCAATTGGCGGCCCTGGTGGAGGAATCGGTGAAGAAGAAGGAGCCTGGCAGCCTCGCGGCGGATGCAGCCAGTAGGGGCGACTGGGTTGCTGCCCCCAGAGGCCAACGAGAAGAGCCCACGCTGCCGCTCGGCGGTGGCGGGGGATTTCTCCAGCAGCAAACGAGAGATAGTGGGCAAGGACCACGGACGCTGCTGGAAGGCGGCTGGGCCAGCAGATCGGGAGCGAACCCTGTTGGACCAGCCGGAGTGGGCCCGGGCATAGGACCGGACTACGGGGAAGCGAGGGGGTTAAACCCCCCAGGTGAGATACCCGTGATTCGAGGAAATGGAGAATACCTCGACGGCTACAGCAGTAGCCACATGAAGAGGGTAACGGTCAATGCTTCGCTCCTAGACGGAAAAAGCCGTGGCCACGGATTTGACTCGTGGCGAAAATCATTCATCCAAGCTGCGAAGATCATCGACTTGGACGGGCTATTTATCTGAGATGCAGAGAGCAGTAGCCCCGTGGGCGACCCAAACTTGCCGACTTCCGAACTGCTCCGTAGGGGGTACACGAGAGCAGAAGTCCAACGAGGGCTTCAGGCGTTCCACTTTATCATTACTGTTGTGGTAAAAGAAGCTGACAAAGCAATTATCAGCAACTGTACGTCAGCGAAAGAGGTCCTTGCGGAATTGGAAAAGGTCTACGATCCGGAGTCACAGGGGTCAAAACAGGCCTTGATGCGGAAGATGTTCGACTTTGCAACCCCCACACACAGCAACGCAACCCCATCGAGCACCTGTAGTTTCTCGAGCTGCTGTACGCCCGCCTGCAGCGAAAAGGGGCTCAATGCTGAACAACCCTTCGTTCTCGCCCACTTCGTTGGTTCCCTCCCACCCGAGTACCAACAAGCGAAGTTCCTGTTGGAGACAGCAACGGCGCTGGATAGGGCCGAGATCGTCAGGATCGTGAGCACGGTGCACGCGAGCCTCCCGGAGGGAAGGAAGGCCTCGAAGGGCCAGCGTAGGGCGGAGCATGCTCTCCTCGCGAGTGACGGTGGCGGCGGGGGAGGAGCGCCGGGCCGCGGCAACAGCGGCCGCCGCAAGGGTCGCGGCGGCGGCGGCGGCAACCAGAAGGGGGAAGCGGGTGGCGCGAAGGCTCGTGGCGGCGGTGGAGGCGGCGACGCCGATACGGGTAGCATGCGCGGTTGCTGTTCCCGGTGCGGCAAGAAGGGCCACCAGGTGGCCAACTGCCCCGAGAGCAAGCCCGTGCGATGTGAGACATGCAAGGGCGACGGGCACGACAAGAGCAAGTGCCCGACCGAAGAGGCGGTGCTCGTGGTGGAAGTGCCGGCGGGAGGAGCGTTTG